TGCGGGGCGATGAGGGAGGCGTTGGCGATGTTGCAGTGCAGGGGGATGCGGAAAGGCACCAGGTACACGGGAATTCCCACCTGCCTCGCGTAGGCCGCGTACATGAACGGGAAGAGCAGGATGCGGCAGAGGAAGAAGGTCACCAGGAGGAGGATCCCGTTCACCTTGTGCAGGAGCGTGTCCTGCATTTGGAGCTGGGGAAGGAAGACGGAGGCCGCGCTGTGAGTGCAGGGCATGGAAAGGGAGCCCAGGAGAGCCGCTGACACCAGCCTGCTCCCTCCTCACGTACCTGCATGAGGATTTTGCCCAGCGACACAAAGGGAGTGCTCAGCTCTGCCATGAAGATGCAGCCCACGAAGAAGTCTCCCAGCTCGCCCCTGAAGTGCTGCGGGGAAGCAGGGCAGTGAGCGCAGGGTGCTGCCCGGCTCCTCACTCCGTGTTTGGGCTCCAGCTGACTTGGATCCCCAAAGTCAGCGGCACTTGGGCTCATGGGCACTGAGAGGAGGAGGCCACTTGCCAGGGGAGACCCACCCAAGGTCAGTCCGGAAACAGCCAAGGTGGGAGATGATCCCGGGGGAAGCGCTCGGCGTTTTGGCTTTGCTGTAGGGGGGGAACCTCCTGTGCTGGAAGCTCTGGGGGACAGATCAGAGCTGGTGGCGCTGGCCTGATTCCTGTCCTGCCTCGGGGCGGGTGGCTGCATGGATGGGGACAAGGACACCCAGGGACATCTGTCCTGCACCCCCCATCCCATACACATGCAGGGAACCCAGCGGGGGTGGCCACCCCGCACCAAGGGGGCAGCGGGGCTGCTGGTTTGAAGCCCCACGGGGCTCCTCCGAGGGCCGCGTCCCTACCTGGGTGACGGGGGTGAGCACCAGGAGGATGACGACGTGGTGGGTCACCATGAGCCGCTCCTGCAGCAGGAAGCTCCGCACGCTGGCCAGCGAGTGCTTCTCCTCCGCGGCGCCCCGGTCGCGGCTCTTGTGCCAGTGGCAGAGGTACATGACGTAGATGTCGTAGGTCATGTAGGGCACCAGGACCCAGATGTACTCCA